CTGTATCAAGCTTGAATGTTGTGTCCATACTTGCCCCAACTGTTCAGGGTTCGACCTCTGTGGTCGTATCAAGCTGAGCCCTGCGGAGCATTTTATTTAAATTTGAATTTATTCTCTAAAAGAAATGCACTACGAAATAACTGTGTTCTCGGGCCAAATGTCTGATATGACATTGAGAAGTTATTGAACTTTATTCTTTGAAAAAGCGATGGGTGTATCATGTGCTCATGGCGCAGCTGTTTATTCAGTATGGACAAAAAAGGATATTTATCTGATTTCTTGTGAAAAATTAAAGTACATTAAAAGATTTGATAATTTATTAAAAGGTATGACAACACTGTAGGATCTGTTACAACATGTGCAATAAGTGTAATGTTCCATAATATAAGGTACTATTTATTATGTTCATGGTACATGTACTGTAGCACTGTAACTCAAATTGTATCAAAGAAAACACACTTCATTGACTTTTATTATACTTGATTCATATTTTAATAGCCTGATTTAACTCAACATTAATGAAAATGTCTAATGAACAGTTCTTTTGTATTAACTGTACATGCTGGCTTGACTGTCTTGAGTTTCTCATCAAACAAAGAAGACACAAAAAGACTTGGCAGTGTTCTGAACCATGATGAAGTCCTTGCATGATATGAAATGTCATTCAGGCTAATGTGGTCAACATTCTGGTCTCGATGGCAGACTTTTCAAAAACATGTGATATCCCTGTCATTGAATTTGTCAATCTGCAATGCTTTTCTTCTAAGGTGGTCACAGGTGTAAGAACCTTCTTGCAAATTTAATTTAGTCCACCATAATCACGAATTTTACAATCCTTATATACAGACAGAGGAAAACAACTCAAAAAGGGTAAAAAATGTGAAGTTCTGCAACAAGTTCAGGCCTATATTGTGAAAGTTGGCAGGTGTGAGGACAGGATGTATCTACCTTGAAAATTGGAGAAAAAGCTGACACCTGTTTTGGAGTTGTTGTCCTGAAATATCCATAGTTTGAATTTTTGGCTGTTTACTTGGGGTTAAAATGCAAGCTTTGTCTGTTATATTGAAAACTGCTATGAATAGAGAAAATCTGACAGGGCAAAATGTTAAGAATGTTGAGATCTTCCTACTGTCTATTTATGTGAAAACTGTCAGACGACTTCTTATAGCTGTTACCCTTATAATTAACTGACAAATTTTATGATATTTTATTATTTTTGCCTATTATCTTGAAAATTGTAAAAGAGTGAAACTTTATTAGCAAAAATTATCTGTAAGACAAGATCTACAAATAAGGCATCTAGACTGAAATCTATAGTCAACTCGTTATTGGAGTAATTGCCCTTTAATGCTGATTTATACCATTTTTGTCTCGCCTTGACAGAGTCAAAAAGCGAGACATAGGTATGCTGTTTCCGGTGGCGGTGGCAGCGGTGTCGTCAACAATGTATTAGTTTGTGATTAGGTCTAGTTCATGGTGAACCACTAGTGGTAGGTCAATGATATTTGGTATGCAGTTGTATTAGCATTGGCACATCTCATTTCCATGGAGATTATTTGGCCCCGCCCTCTCAGTCAAGGTCTATTGACTTTGAAACTTTTCATAGTTAACATGTATTAGTTTGTGATTAGGTCAATTTATGGGGAACCACTAGTGGTAGGTCAATGATATTTGGTATGCAGTTGTATTAGCATTGGCACATCTTATTACCATGGAGATTATTTAGCCACGCCCCCTCAGTCAAGGTCTATTGACTTTGAAACTTTTCATAGTTAACATGTATTAGTTTGTGATTAGGTCAATTTATGGGGAACCACTATTGGTAGGTCAATTATATTTGGTATGCAGTTGTTTAAGCATGGGCATATCTCATTTCCATGGAGATTATTTGGCTCCGCCCCCTTAGTCATGGTCTATAGACTTTGAAAATTTTGCTAAGTTTACATGTATTAGTTTGTGATTAGGTCAGTTCAAGGGGAACCATTATTGGTATGCCAATGTTAATTGGTGTTCAGTTGTATAAGCATTAGCACATCTCATTTCCATGGAGAATATTTGGCCCGCCCCTTCAGTCATGGTCTATTTACTTTGAAACTTTTGCTTAGTTTACATGTATTAATTTGTGATTAGATCAGTTTAAGATGAACTGCTAATGTTAAGTCATTGATATTTGGTATGCAAATTTATTGGCATTTGCAAGTATCGTTTCCATGGAGATTATATAGCCCCACCTCTGATCATGGTTCATTGACTTTGAAACTTTTACATAGTTTTCAAGTTAATGTTTGTGTTTACAAAATGTAGGTTTGTTTAAAGGGAACGATAATAAGTCAATGGTATTTGGTATGCAGTTGTATTAGCATTGGCACATCTCATTCCATGGAGATTGTTTAGCCATGTACCTTCAGTCATGGTTAATCGACTTTGAATATTTGCATTACTTACATGTTAAAGTATTGCAATTTTAATTTCAACATTTGCATTATCAAAATTACAAAAAGGCGAGACATATCTCTGTGATAACACTTTATTGAATTTTTGCCTATTATCTTGAAAACCAAAATAGATACAAATGTCAAATAGAAACTTTAAAAAACAAAAATGATCAGCATGACAAGATCTATAGATATGTCATTGTCAGTTAACTCTTCATAGAGATATTGCCTTTTCATGATGATTTTTACCAAAAAGTGGTCATTGTGGAATATGCAGGTGAGTGACACAGGCTCTTTAGAGCCTCTAGTTTTTAATAAAACTGAAACAGAATGGTACTTTTATAAGTAAATGTATTTATCTGTTTATTATGTAATAATTACATGAATAAGTTACGACATTGCATTTTATTCTTGTTGTAATTTTTAAACTTTGAACATGTTGAAAATAAGACAAATTGGTCACATTCTGTATTTAAACATTTACTTTTCCAACCCTGTCTTTCTACATGTGACATTTGCATGCAAATTGAGTTCTCTATACTCCCAAGCTATTGATTATGAATCAAGCAAATAGTTGTATAGACTTAACTACAGACTAGGAATATTGATCACAGTATAGCAGGCATTGATTACTGTCATATTGATTGTGTTTGGACAGTTTATATTTTGATAGAATAACCATACAATCATGACAGACCATTAATTAGTGATTGTTTCCTGACTTGTTAAGAAAATTATTGACTGGTTCTACACTCACTAACTTGGTTCTTTGATGGTAGGAGTAGTGGATGATAGTAAACAGATTGAATGATTTATTCTTAACTGAATTTCCAGAAATTTCCGGTGCTTATAAATTTCTGTCATTAGACAAATTTCTTTTTGAATTGTATATATTCATGTGCAAATGTTGTGCATTGTGTAGTATGAAAGATGTGATTTAAGCAATAACATTAAATTCAGGTTTTAAATGACACTACCTTTCTGTTTGAGAAACATCTTTAATTTGATCATCCTGAACATGCATGAAATATTTGACACTGGAGGTTAAGCAACCAACAATCAATCAATCTTTTATTTTATTTGATCTTTTGAATGGCAATCAAGAATGTCAATCTTTGACTAACACATTCATGACATTACCAATTAATTGTTGAAAGTGATCTTGAACATTTTCAGTAAAACAAGTTCATTGGCTATTGCAATGAAGGTGAACTAGTACTAACGGAAAATATCTAGATATCTGTATTCTGGTTTAAGTTTTACGTTCTTTTAATGTACTGTGGATTCATTAATATTCGTTGGATACCAATTTTTGTGGGTACTGGGGAACCACGAATTTAAATGTTTAACAAATTACAAATTTTCTAAAGGAATGTATGCAAACTTTGACATTAAATATCCATGAAAATGCAAGTTTTCCTCAATCCATGAAAATTGGTACCCACGAAAATAAAAGAATCCACGGTACCTTTAAATTTTCATATTTTATTATTTCAAATATTTGAATATCATGAATCATAATCTTTTATTACACTTACTTTACATTACCTATGGTGTCATGGAAAATTGTTCTTTTCATAGTTCTTTTTTTTGCACTTGTCTTACATTGAAAAATATGTTTAAATTTTTATAAAATTTTGACAAAATATTTACTTTGATCTGTTGACAAAAATATAAAGATTTCAAGAAATTCTAACCACACAATTCACTGGAATAATTTCATTGGATATATATAGCAGTTTGACAAACACTGATTTCTCTTTACTTAAAGTATGTGATTAAAACGTTCAGTTGACTTTTAAAGAGTTAACTCCCTTAGATGTTCTGTACCCTCTTAACTCAAAAAGGACTACAGCTGAAAAATTGTACATGCGTATATGTAGAAAGATAGCATGGTTAATGTGATATAAATATAATTATGAACCATGCTTTCTCCTTTTAACCATGATCTAAATATATACTTTGTAACTTAAAATTTTTTGTTTAACACCTCTTATAATAGATATTTGGATGAAATGTAGGTTATTAAGTTAAGTTAAATATTTACATTGTGTTGGTTGGATAAACATTTTCCAAATGCAGACATGTGTTGTTGGCCTTCGTTGCTGTCATATCAAGGAATACCCTCAATCTCCTTAGATTTAGGAAACTAGTACAGAAAAAGATAATAGATGGTCTGTAACAGGTGTGCTGATTATTTATTGTCTCGCATTGACAGAGTCAAAAAGCAAGACATGGAGATTATATAACCCCACCCCCTCATTATGGTTCATTGACTTTGAAACTTTTACATAGTTTATAAGTTAATGTTTGTGTTTAGGTTTGTTTAAAGGGAACAACTTATGAAAAGTCAATGGTATTTGGTATGCAGTTGTATTAACATTGGCACATCTCTTTTCCATGGAGATTGTTTAGCCCTGTACCTTTAGTCATGGTTCATTGACTTTGAATATTTGCATAACTTACATTTTAAAGTATTGCTATTGTAATTTCAACATTTGCATTATCAAAATAACATATATGAGAGACATATCTCTGTTTTAACAGTTTATTTGATTTTTTCAGCATATAAAACTGTGTCAGGTGTAAATGGACCTTTGGTTATCTTGGATGATGTAAAGGTAAGCTATACAAATCAGTCGCATCAAAGGATAAAGGAATAGATATGGTTGAAGTGGACTATTTAGAATCACTGTGGTGTGGCATTTTGAGTAATCTTTTTTGTTGTTGACAAAAAGAATATCTTTTTGTGGAGCCAGGATGTGCATGTGTTTGATTGGTATTTAAACTTCCTGTGGCACCTATTGTATTAATTAGTATGATACTTTTTAACTTCTGTTAAAACCATATATATTTTTGAAAGCAAGATATTTGCACTAAATATGTTAATGGTTTGCAATATGTCATACACATAATCGTGTCTACAGGGTGTAAAGGGAATATATATTGACAGTAACTGACTGCAGATTAATTCCTGTCTATAATATTTTTGTTTTGTTCCAGTTTGCCAAATTTGCAGAAATTGTACATTTAACATTAGCAGATGGAACCGTCAGAAGTGGACAAGTTTTGGAAGTGTCTGGTTCTAAAGCCATTGTTCAGGTAAATTGTCTTAACTCAGGAATCTTTTACATTGAATACAATTCTCTGGTTATGAAACAATTTCTTACATAACCCAAGTCATTTATAAAATTAGGCCTATGGACTAACTGTTAGAAATCCTGTTTCTTATATATACAAACTGAAAATCCCATTTTGTAATATTAAGAGCTTACAAATTTGTTATCAATAAAATATATGAAAAAAACTCAACCTACTGAAGAAATAAATCAATACTTTTCAATCAATGGTATATATTAAGGTTAAAGAATTGTTCATTACAAAAATACAAAACCTTAAGGTCTATTATATAAAAATTCGCAAGGGTTCCACGGAACCCAGTGTCTCGCCTACTTTTGCTGCTAGTCACAGGCTCAACAAAAATGGGGAAAAAATTATTAAAAATTTTCTTATAGATACTATCTTCTGATTGTTATAAGAAGCTTCTGTCCAAGTTTGGTAAAAATTCAGAATGGTTTATGAATCTAACAAATGGTTTAAAAACTTTAACTACAGACTGTATGTAATGTTAACTGGAAGAAAAACTAAGTCCATTTATAAGTAATATACAGAAAAACAGGAAATATATTTTTACAAAATTTCCTTCTAGATACTAGTTTTTGATCATAAACAAGCTTCTATCCAAGTTTGGTACAAATCCAGGATAGTTTAAGGTGAGAGGTACGTAAATGAACGCCTCTAACGGAAAACGGGAAAATTTGCGTTCGTTGTTATGAGAGTTATCCCCCTTACACCAGAAAAATATTTCCAAGATGTCGGAAGATATTCCGCTTCGTCGGAAAAATGGTCAATTCGGTGGAAAAGTATTCAATTCTTCTCATCAAAATATAACAAAAAGTGTAGTTATTGTAAGTGAAATGTCTTGTCCGAGTGAAACATTGCTTCCCTCCCAAGAAAATGAAAGTAACTTGGCATGGCGTGATGGTCGAAGAGTGGTTGAGTTGGGGTTACTAGCTGACCAACTTAAAGCTTGCAAGAACTGCTATGCACCATTATTTTTACACAACTGCTCAAAAGAACAAAGATACGGTCTCAGAAGTATTTTGTATATACCTTGTGGTAGCTGTCCCTACACAAACTTAATAAACACTGGTAAACGGCACAGATCAGAGACTTCAAAAAAGGGAATGTTGATATGGGACGTGAATACAAAATGTAGTATGGGTAAGAATATTAAAAACACTTGCATGTACACACAATAACAAATTAAAGCTCACACTAATACGTTGACTTTTTTATTTTCATTCTAATTTTTGAAGTCGAAGACTCACACTTACAATATTGCATACAAAGTCAAAGAAATAAATTCGTTTCTCAAAAGTAAAACAACTGTCAACGGTTGAAGGTATTCAACTCTTAACAAAAAAGAGGAAATACTCTTTTATATGCTTAATAATTATTATTCTTGATTTGACATTCGTGTTAGACAATCATTTTCTCACACAAATATAAACATTTGGATGTTCATACAAATAAAAAACCGTTGTTTACAGTGCTTTCTTTCACGTCCGCAATATGGTCTATAAATAGAAGTGGAAAGTGCTAGTACCGAGAGTGAAAAAAATAGGATTAAAACAAATAATTTTTACTAAAAATATTGAACAAGAATTTTAAATTGTTGCGTGAAATGAAATTTACAAAATGTAATGTCGGAAATTACTTCCGAAGGGTAATTGAGCAAGAGAAAAGGAAAAGAAAATTGAATGCGAATCGAAATTGGGATGACATTGTGCACGGACAAACGGGAAGTAAAATGGTCTTTCAAAATAAACAAAAATTTATTACAAAAAAGTTTACACGTTTCTTTTAATTCAATTTGAAAGAAATATGATGAATAATGAGTTTCAAGCATGAAAATACGAGAAGGGAAAATTACGATTCCGCTGCACGAAAATTATCCCTTACCGCCGCTTCAAAAATAAAATGATAAGCCAAGTTCATATAGTATACAGAAAATTCAGAAATTTGTGCGTGCATTGATTAATTTATTTTGAAATAGGAAAAGTTATGTCACTAGTTATTGCGATTTCAGTAAAAAATGTATACAAATGTAGCAATTAGAATTTAGAATTAGAGGTTTTATTTTTTTTGCGATACGTATTTTTTAAGTACGAACATTTTATTAAAATGTCTTTCCAATAAACTTAAATTTTATTACATAAATCGGATATTTATGAAAGAAATCTTTGTTTAGCCTATTTAGATGCAGGAATGGGTCCACACCAGACAGTCAATTTCCTTGCTGGCATTAACATCCCCCCAATAGCAGTTAAGAATTTAAAGATAAGAGAAAGAGAAATCGGCAAAACCATAGAAAAATGTGCTGAAATGTCTTGTCAGAAAGCTCTACAAGAAGAAATAGATTTAAGCAGGTAATTCCAAATTTTATATCTATTAAAAATAAGAAGATGTGGTATGATTGACATGCACTAAGACAACTCTCCACGATAGACATAATAGCATAAAAACTAACAACTGCATGTATAAGACCGTAAGGCCTTCAATAATGAGAAAAACCCATATCGAATAGTCAGCCTCAAAAGGCCCCGAAATACTGTTAAACAATTCAAACGAGAAAAACTAACGGTCTGATTTATGTACAAAATAATAGACGAAAAACAAATATGTAACACAGCAACAAACGACAATCACTGAATTACAGGCTTCTGACCTGGGATAAGCACATACAGAAGGTGGCGGGGTTAAACTTGTTTGAAGGCACTTACCCTACCCAAAACTTGGGATAGTGGTGTCTCTAGTTTATAGTAATTAACCAATTTTAGAAAATGTCTTTATGAAAAAATAAATCATTGCAAATGGTGAACATCTAAAATTAAATCTTGAAGTGTCAATGGGTTCAGTATTATGAAAAAATCAAACGAAATTCAGGCTTCTCCTCACAATCAATAATATATATAATGGATCCAGGCATCTCCTTACAATCAATAATATATATAATGGATCCAGGCATCTCCTCACAATCAATAATATATAAAATGGATGATAGTTTATAGATAAATTGAAAACAAAGTTAATCTGATTGCCAGCTTGTAAGATTAAATAAACCTTGTTTATATAAACGGCCCATTAACAAGAATCATATATTTTTAGAGATGAAGATGATCATTCAAATGGAACTTCAATAACAGTTTCTTTTGATGGTGCTTGGCAGAAAAGAGGAAGTGGAAGAAGCTACAGTAGCTTGACAGGTATACCTATATGCACTGGAAAACAATAAATAGCTAAAACAGAGCCCACTCCTCACACCCGAAAAAACGCTTCTTATTTGGTTAATGATTTTTTATGCCTAGAGGCTAGGCAAAGGGGGCATTAAGTGTTACCCTTGACCGTCCTTCCGTCCGTCCCATTTTTGTTTTCACAATCTTCTCACCCACATTTAATAAAAGTAATCCTCAATGTTAAACACAACAATTTGCAGACATGCAGGGTTCAAATTTAGGCAGTGAGCCGCTTACTATTCTAGAGTTATGCCCCCTTTTAAATGGGAAAATTGTAAATGTTTTCGTTTCCCCACTCTTTCTTACGTTTGCCTCATGTAAATTTTATGAATCTCATAAACATTAATGAGAACCACAAATATTTCAAAGCTTTGGGTGGGGGCATTTGTGTACCCAGACAAATTCTTCTTTTCATTTTTGATATATATTTTTCAATAAGAATGCTGTTATAAATTCTTATCGATTTTAAATTAATCTTATAATTATATTGGTAGGTCATGCTACAATGATAGGTGAAAAAACTGGAAAATGTGTGAGTCAAGGAACTAAATCAGCAGACTGCAGAAAATGTATGTATGTGGATGAAAAGGGAGATGGACATCACGATTGTAGGAAAAATCATACTGGAAGTGCAAAGTCGATGGAGTCAAACTTAGCCGTTGAGATGGTGCAGGAGCTGCAGTGCAAAGGATGCAAAGTTTCCTGTATAATAATGGATGACGATACCACTACTCTGGCTAGACTAAAAGAAAACATTAATTCGGACATTGTTAAAAGATCAGACAGAAATCACCAAAGAAAAAATATTGTTAGTGACTTATACCGCTTACATGAAAAACACAAAGGTAAATTGTCAACTAGTACTATAAGCTACTTGACAAAAGATTTAGACTATGCAATAGCCCAAAACAAGAACCGTGCAGAACAATTGAGCCAGAATATTTATTCAATCATTCCCCATTCTTTTGGTGACCATTCTAAATGTGACTTATCGTGGTGTAACTACCATAAAGATCCAGAAAATTACAAACATAAAAGTCTTCCATATGGCAAAAATTTAAACGGAGAGGAAATGTTTGCCGATTTTTCAAAATTGTTTGATACTTACGCAAAGAATTCAGATAAATTAGCTAACTGTGGCAGCTCGCAAGGAAACGAATCCTTAAATCAAATAATCGCGTTAAAGGCACCAAAAGCAAAGCATTTTGGGAGTAGTGAATCCCTTCCTTTCCGAGTATGCGTGGGAGTAATTCAGAAAAACGAAGGTCGTTCTTATATACCACAAGTATATGAAGCTCATAAATTGTCACCTGGAAAATTTACAGTAATGCATACGGCAAAAATAGACAAAAAGCGCAAGCATGACAAAGTAAATGCAAGTACCCGGGAGGCGAAGAGAAAAAGACTTGTCAAAAAGGGAAAATTCAACTTGAATCTAAAGGCCAAAGAAATACGAGAAGGCGTAACATATGCTACCTCTATTTCTGCACCAGCAAAATCGAGTGAGAATGCTGAAGATATTTCACACATTCCTGATCCTGAACCAGAAGTGACGGAAGATCCTATGTCTTTGAAAGACGAAACATTTGTTTACTTTGACCTTGAAACTACAGGGTTCGGTAAGAAATTAATTGTTTTTGTTGTTGGCTTTCTTTTATTATATTGTCAATAGAATCGTTATCCCTTTTCGGCTACAGGTTATTTTCTTATTTATTCAGAATTTAAACAGCCAGATCTTCTTTGATTTGAATCTAAGGTGACTAATCGGAAATTTATAAACAAGCGAGACCAGTCTGTTAACGTAACATGTAGGCATAATATTTTATATTTCGTATTGTCATTCAAAAAGGGACAAAAGACAACTTGGAATAAAATGTGTTGCGTTTCTATACGACCTGAGTATATTACTAGACATCTTTATAGTATCACAGTATATGAAATTTCTTAGTGTTTTTTTTTATATATCAATACTTAGGAGTTTGAATATAGTAATAATATCACATGTCTTTAACATTATGCATACATGTATGCACCTCTGCACGTTTAATAACACTTGTCTCTTCAATAAATCAATTTATCTTATGACTGATTTTATATATATAGTTACAGTATTTAGAAGAAATAAATTAAAAACAAAGAATAAACAGAGAAATTAACTGAAATACAGAAATTCAGAGGAGACTACAAGATGAAAAAAAAACCTTCACAACCGGAATCGCTATCATGTATAACGGGAAACAACAAATGTTTTTTTTTCCTGCATGGGACTGTATGCGTTTCCGTTTGTATTGCTAAGTAATATAAACGATTGTAGTTTGTTACTGTGTGCATCGTAAGATGAATGAAAGGACGGCAATTTTGTAAGTATTAATATCAAAGACTTATTTTGAATTGTTTCTTTTTCAGGTACTGATTGTGATATTATTCAATTAGCTGCAGCATATGACAACCAAAATTATAATTGGTATATGGTACCTGGTCAGCGTATCTCGCCATCTGCTTCTAAAGTAACCGGATTTTCAAAAAGTGGTTTAATTTTGTATAAAAACGGGGAAATAATGCAGACGGACGAAGAAAGTGAAATTTTTAAACAGTTTATTTCTTGGCTTCCCAAAAAATGCATTTTGGTTGGTCACAATTCAAAAATTTTTGATTCCAGAATTTTGACTAAGGCTTTACAAAATTATAATATCATGAAAGATTTTGAATTAAAATGCGGTGGATTTATTGACACCTTATCATTGACTAAAGAACTACTACCAGACAGAAAGACAAATAAGCAGTCATACAACCAGGAATCACTTGTAAAAGATATTGTTGGCATAAATTATGATGCACACAATGCCATTGGCGATGTGCAATCCCTGCAACAGGATCAACACGCTAAAAGTCTCTCCAAGAATTCTAGAAAAACACAGCTTCTCTGTTCAGTACACAGTAAACATGATCAGTAAGCTGCAGCTAACTAAATCTAGACTGGATACATTTAGCAACATGCCATCTACTTTTTGTTCAAAGACAATGCTGAACAAAATTGCCAGATCTGGTTTACGGTTAAACCATCTTATCCTTGCAGGAAATAGAGGAGGTGTTGATGGCATACGCGAATTGCTAACCGAACAGTTTGACGGGAAGCCCCGAGTTACTAAAGACAAGAAGATACTAGACTCGATTTCAGAACACATTATGTCATTGAAAAACTAGAAAAAACATTGTCTGAACGCATATACTTTTGTTATTGTATTACACGTTTAGTTTCTAGACGAAACACATTACAATTTTAAAATATTTGCATCAATTCACAATTTTCACTAAGATTAATTGAACAAAACCACGGATAAGAGAAAAGAGAAATGATAATTTGCATCAAACTTCCAAAATATCTTTTGTGTTGGGTTTTTACCTATCAATTACGTGTATCCCCTTTGCTTTTATAATATTAAACACACCATTTAATTTTAGGATGAAAAATTAAATCAGTACTATTGGGCTCGATGTATGTGTTTATTTTTTTGTGTTGTGTTCATGTGCCATTGAAAACATAATTATCAATACATATATGTGACCTACATCTACGTCGTACGACGGTCCATCGGCACATTGATGACTATTCAATTATTCTGCAACGATCAGGTAAAAGAAATGTTTGTTTTGTTTACTACTGTTTGTCTTTTGTTTTTTTTACAGTTTTTCCGTGCCATTGTCAGTTTGTTTTCGACTTTGGTACATTTCGTTTCCCTTATTGTGCAGCAGCAAATATTTCATGTATTTTCGGGTCGAAAATATAATCAATGAATGTATATCGTCATTATAATCAAAGAGACACCTTGATGTAGCGGTCGTTGTCTTTATTTGACAAGATTTCTATGTTGGTGACGATTCTGCTGATGGAGACTTGACGTTGCGTAATCCTTTTCGGCGACGTCATGTAATTTCTATCTTTTTTCAGTCAGCAACACCTTTTCAACGGCTGATATATAAAAAGAGAGTCCGGTAACCATAGGAAAATTATATATCAATGGAAAGGAAAATTCTATCATAAAAACATTTAATTTTTATAGAAAAATTGTAGGAATGGTTTTAACTGCAGATTAAATTAAGCTTGAAATTTCTTATTTTTTGCGTAAATTTGACGTTATGTCTATGTACTTCATGGTGTTATTCTAACATTTTCAAATGACTGTAACTTTTAAATTAGAACGGTTACCCACTCAAATTTTTCAATTTTTCTGTTTATTTTTAGAAGTTCTACGTGCATACAATTTCTTAAAAAAATCGGTGGACAAGCCATTTACGTACCTGTTACCTTAAGAAAGTTATTAAAATTTTAAAAACTTTAACCACAGAGTGAATGTAATGTTAACTGGCAGAAAAGTCCATTTATAAGTAAAATAGAGAAAACAGGATTTTTTTTTTACAAAATTTACTTCTGGATACTATCTTATGATCATAAACAAGCTTCTATCCAAGTTTAACAGAAATCCAGGATAGTTTAAGAAAGTTATAAAAATTTTAAAAACTTTTAATCACAGAGTGAATATTTGTGGACGCCTGTGTGAAAATTGTTCAAAAATATGTCATCCTTTTTCACCTGAATGGCAGCCACCTTAGTTCCAATTAATCAGGAATATCTGGTTTAAATTTATACATACTGAGGCGGTGTGTCTATACATACCACTTGTAGCTGTGTATCTATGTAAAGCTATTTTTAAAAAAAGAGTAGTTTTTACCCTTTTTACTTACTTATTATTATATTTTGTAGGTATTCGAAGGAACCTCCGGAATTGATGCCAAACATACATTATGTGAATTTACAGGAGATATTCTTAGAACTCCTGTATCAGAAGACATGTTGGGTAAGAATGATACCATTAGAGTACAAAGTTGCTTTACTGAGAAATATATTGATACGGAAAGCTTAACCTTAATAGAGAATTATTTAGTAGTACATGTTTACACTTATTTCTGCCTAGCCGATTAGATGAAATAAGAATTTCAAAGTTGTTAAAAAAAATACAATAGAATAGGGCTCACACTACTTCAGAATCATAGGGAGAAGTGACTTCTCTTTTTGAAACTGAGAGGGAGAAGTGGTGACATTTGAAAGAGAAGTGCTTGTTCGCTCGCGGCACTACACTGTTTGGTTTTTACTATAATACAAAGGGCCATATGTATCTTATTTTTTTATATTGTTCAATTTGTACCTGGGAATACAATAAAAGTAACAGTTCAAATTCAAAGTTGTTTAATTTTATCATATCTAGTTGCACAATCATATTAGTCCTCTAGTTAGAAAAAAAGTTAAATATCTAGCAATAATAAAAAAGATTTTTTTATATCAAAAAGGAAAAGAAAGTTGTTATATCAATTAGAATTCAATTTAAAATGTACTCTGTTATCATGTTTATGAAATTCAGTGTTTCTCATTAAAAAAATATATAAATTTAACACAGTTAAGCTTGGACTTAGTATTCCCAGAGTTGATCAATTTTAATTAATAAATTGAAACAATGCATATACATACCATGGTAATATATACATTAATCAAGTAGATCTAACCAAAAGTATGTTAATGCGCGTGGAATGCGTAATTTTTCCTTTTGGGATCAATATTCCTCTGTCAGCTGTGCCATTCATGTGTCCGTAGTCATTATCGTAAGAATCCGGATTTAGGTCATAGCTGGTCCGGTTCCGATCAGTAGTTTATACACATATTTCAATGGCGGACGAAGAAAAATTTACAAAAATAAACGATGTTTGACACGCTATTTGGAAAGGAATATGACGTTTTTAATGCAATACATGGATAACAAATTTACTTCAGGCAAATTTCATCACGTTTTAATGAAGTAACAAACTTATTTTGCCGAAAGTTAGAATGATTTGATGTACGCTATCGAGTAACAAGAACCGGAAGTGATAAAAAATTGTTTTTATGAAATAACATGCAACCAACTTTAAAATCAATGCTTTAACCACTTTTCTGAAGAAAATAAATCTTTCATGTCCTTGAATTTCTTTACTTTTAAATGAAAAATTGCTGTTCATCGACTTGGTAAAAATTGAATATTCTGATGACAAAAGCAACTGAAAGCGAGTATCGTAAACAACAGGGCGACTAGATTTCGCTTTTGACGATCAGCCAAAGCGAAGTGACGGCCGGGAAAGCGACTTTGTCGCCAAAGTCGCATGGTAGTGTGAGCCCTGAATAGAAGCCATAAAGCTATTTGATATTGTACAAACATTTCTTATGTATATGTATTTCATGTTTTTTTTTTACAGGTCGTGTGTTTAATGGTTCAGGTAAACCTATAGATAGAGGTCCACCAGTATTAGCGGAGGACTTCTTGGATATTCAAGGTAAAAACAAACTGTCTTTTATTAGATATAAACAAAAAGAAAAAGGAAAATTACAGAATATTTGACACTATAGCAGATTTTACATAAAAGTATAATTTGAGAATGCCACTACACATGTTGTATGAAACTAAATTTTTAATAGTTTTTCTGATTACCAAGATAAGAAGAAAAAAAAAAGTCAAAGCCCAATTATTATAATTTTTGAGCCCCCTGCAACAACTTCCAAAGTGTAGTGAATCTGTTTCCCAAGTAAAATTTTATAAATACACAACTTAGGGTATATGAAAAGTAAGTACTATTGGTAAACACCAACTATGAAGAATATTTAGAAACAGACTTAATACATATATTTTAGGACAACCTATCAAGCCCTGGTCTTTATTTTAGGACAACCTATCAATCTGTGGTCTCATATTTATTTTAGGACAACCTATCAATCCCTGGTCTCGTATTTACCCAGAAGAAATGATCCAGACTGGTATATCAGCTATAGATGGTATGAACAGTATTGCCAGAGGACAGAAAATTCCTATCTTCTCAGCTGCTGGTTTACCTCATAATGAAGTAAGATGTTATGGTCAAGGAAAAGTAAATGGGCTGTCTCAGATTTATGTAAAATTTTGCAAAGTTGTCATGCACTTTTCCCAATAATGAATACATACAGTAGTACTTAAAAATCATGAAATTAACAGAAATTGAAAATGTCAAAGCAAGATTAATACATCTGTTAGGCTCATTATATTCATCAATTGAAAAAATACAAAAATATTCCTACATTAAAACAATGTCATAGAATGCATTTAAGGTCAAGCTTTGTCACAGATTTTGTTGATAATTTGCATACAACTTTGGGTTGTTAAAAAATTGAACTGAAAATCGAAAATATAATGCATTTATGTCTTTTATTTTCTGAATTATTATTGATTGATTTCTTTCAAAATTGGTGAATATTTGTATAGAAAGCACATAAAATCAGCAAAAAAAGTTCTTAAATTTGTCATAAAATCATTAAATTTCCAATTTTAAATACATAGATTTTTCTTCTAAAACTATAGTTGTTGATACATACATTTACGTTTTAATAATATAAAATTATCGTATGGGCACCGACCTAGTTTTTGTTGTATTAGCCATTCTGTTACCTAATCGGTAAAAGTGAAAAACATCAAAAATCAATGTTTTACGGCCTACAATGCTACGATTATTTCGACTTTTTGTAGTATTTTTTCACCTATAACACCACATTGAATGATGTATACCTTTAAAAGGAAATCGGTGACCCTATTATTATTTTACATCATTAAAATGGAAATTTATGTACCAACAATATATAGTTTTTTAAGAAAAATATATGTATTTGAAATTGGATATTTGATGATTTTTAAACAAATTTAAGAACATTAGAATTGCCATAAGCCAATGTCAGAAACAGGAAATATTGTATTAATCCAATCATGGTGCTCTAAATAGAGCAGTACAATCATTCATAATCAGGGTTTCCCCTGGGTCAACATTTTTTTCGCCACCTCTTTCGCCAAAACAATATTTTTGTCACCACTCTAAATTTTTTCTCGCCAAGTACATTTTTGTAACATAGATATATTTTTGTTAAGAACTTGTTTCCCTTCTTGCTAACAAAAAAATCAGTTTGCAGCATTATTGTCTCATCTATTATAATTTTACATATCTATTTTATAATCTACATTGAAATATTAAAACGAAATTTCTTAAAGCACTTTTTAAAAGATACTGTAAAATTTGAAATCTCGGAACACGGGATTCATCATCAATCAGTTTATTAGAAACTTTCTGTTAAAGGACAAAGTAAAAGTCAGAGATTTTTCTTACTTTCCAACCCTTTCTTCAGAACAACAGTTTCCTTTTCGGGACCATTGTTAAAAGTAAAAGTTGGGACGTAAAAACACTGTATGCTTAAAAAAGGTCCGCAGCTAAAACGATTGTGAAGTGCTAACATTGAAACCATTATTTTTAACGAAGTTGTAAATGCAATCAGCTGATTATTGATTTAATGTCAAAATCGATATGCGTGACGAGTTCAAGGTGAAATCCGAGTATTGTATGATCAGGGAAAAAGTCGAGAAACCTGAATAAAAAATAACAAGATGGACGAAGTTGAACTGTTTTATTTCTTTTGCCAAATTCTTTCGCCATTCATGGTATTTAATCACCATAATATTTCTTTTTTTTCCCAAAATGCAAAATTGGCAACCCCCAGCGGAAACCCTGTTCATAACTAAATAAACAAGAAAAAAATGATTTTGATAATTGAATATTCAACAATGGAGCAGAAATCAAGAAAAAAAAACCAAAAATACAGTTCAATATAATTATTTTGTCTTATTTTGGGGCATTTCTACTTGGGGAAGGGAAGACAACTCCTACTCCAAAGAAAGTTATAGGAAAACACAAGTTTATGATTACAGATTTTCATTTGATACAGTAATGATTATGACATTCAGCTTGGCTTTCAGTTTAAAATTTAAAGTCGTTAAATCAGCAAACTTCCCTAATTTTAACATGTTTTAGTTGTTTTTTATTATTTTGATGTTTATTTGTTATTATTGCTTTAATAGATTGCTGCACAGATTTGTAGACAGGGTGGTCTTGTCAAAGTTCCAGGGAAAAGTGTATTAGATGATCACGATGACAACTTTGCTATTGTGTTTGCAGCTATGGGTGTAAGTATTATATCTGAAATACAAACTCCTTTCTTTTTTTACTTACTTGATTTTAGCTGAAAATGGTAAAGGAGAGATACGACCAATTGAACTTTCAAGTACTGTGACGATCTAAATATAGAATTATTCTGTGAAGCTTATTTTCAGTCTTAAATGTTGATGTCATTTAATAGAAATAAGAAATAAAGTGACCTTTTACACTATTAGATTTTTTTTCTATTAGAAAACTCCTTTTCATTGATCAATGTCTTTTCAGGTCAATATGGAAACAGCCAGATTTTTCAAACAAGATTTTGAAGAGAATGGTTCTATGGAAAATGTCTGTCTTTTCCTTAACTTGGCCAATGATCCAACGTAAGTACATATAGAGCTGTATTCAAATTAGAACAAACCATTGACCGCACAATAAAGAATTGCAGCATATCATATAACTGTACTGTTTTAAAAAAAGGTAATAAAATCTTGGAAAGTATTCTTTAACAATGTGCTTTGAACTTGTTTGTGTAGTGTATGTGTCCCTTTCGCTCCGAAAATATTTGATAAGTTCACTGTTACATTAATATGGCTCATACTTTTCTAATTAATTACTGATGATAATTTCTAATTTCTGCAATGAAATTTTAAAGCATCGTTAATTAATGAGTAAATTATTTATTACACAGCTACTTGAAAGTTATAAAACAATTAATATTATGAAAAACGAACACACACAAACCTTAAAAATGAAAATAACCCTTTGCTATTTTGATATTTTGACATATAAGTTAAGTTTTGACAACAAAAACTTTTTTGATTGTCAATGTTTGAAAAAGAAGAATTTATGTGGTGAAACAAAATATTTCCTTTAAAAGGGACTGAAGACAGTTTTATGCAATTCCAGAGGAGACAGTTTGTTTCTTGTTTGTTTTTTTATCACAGAAATTCTCATGAAAAAATATTTTCCAGAGATCATGGGATCAGAGCAGAATGATTCAATGGAAATTGTTACTGTTGCCTATAACCAATGCTTGATATTGTCTCTTTTCAGAATTGAACGTATCATCACTCCTAGAATTGCTTTGACAACAGCAGAATTTTTAGCGTACCAGTGTGAGAAACACGTTTTGGTTATTTTAACAGATATGAGCTCATATGCTGATGCTTTGAGAGAGGTTGGTTTCTCTACATTCAGTTTGAACTGACCTTTAATGAAATTAAATGGTTTAATGTTTATTCATTTCATAAAAAATCAAAGAACAAAAAATTAATTTATGTGGATACTTGATAATCTTTGAACTGTCAAAAATAAAAAAATCGCTCTTGAAATAGTAACTTTAAAAGAAATTCTATATAACTAATATACAAATTCTTATATTGTTGTTTTGTTTTTATGTGTATCAATTTTATTTGTATTTTACAGGTCTCAGCTGCTAGAGAAGAGGTACCAGGTCGTCGTGGTTTCCCTGGTTACATGTACACAGATTTAGCTACTATTTATGAAAGAGCTGGTCGTGTTGAGGGACGTAATGGTTCCATTACACAGATTCCTATCTTAACTATGCCTAACGATGGTAATTTTTCAGTCTTCATTTACAATAGTTTACAATTATAAGGGAGATAACTTGAGACCTACAAATGTTTACCAGTAATATCAATCATATAAAATTAGAAGGAAACAAGGAAAAATATAAAAACCTTGATAAAGATTCCATACCCATTTACACATTTACCAACTGCCTAGATAATTTTTATCAAATATTTGCCACTTAAAGCAAATAACACATTTGCCACCAGAAAATTGTGATTTCCATATCAGTGAAAAGATCAAATCCAACCATTCCAATTTTTGAAAAGAAATGAAGTGAAGGAATATTTTTTATTATTGACACTTTGACAAAAAATTTCTTCACTTAATCGTAGAATATCTTTATAAATGAAAATAGAATGTTACAAAGTATTATTTTCTTGTTTATTAATATTAATATAAGCCTTAGACACTTCACAAATAATTTTCCTTGTACAAAAATAGAAGAAAATGACAAGATTTATAAACCAGACATTCATAGATGGCCAAAAATTCTGTATTTCATTCCGAAAGAGATAATAACCATAGTTTATAGTTCAGTTTATTTTAAAAGAGAGGCGAAAGATATCAAAGGTAAATTCAAACTCATAAGTCGAGAATAAACTGACAACGCCATGGCTAAAAATTGCTTTTAAATAAAAAATGAACTACATGGTAGATTCCTATGAACAATTTAAAAAATGGAAATTTTGTAAAAACCAGTACTTAATTAAACTCAAACAAACCACAATGAAAGTAAGTTTATGGTATGGCACTAATTGTTTACTATTTATTTGTGTACAGATTTGTGGTATGGCACCAATTGTTTACTATTTATTTGTGTACAGATTTGTGGTACGGCACCAATTGTTTACTATTTATTTGTGTACAGATTTGTGATATGGCACCAATTGTTTACTATTTATTTGTGTACAGATTTGTGGTATGGCACCAATTGTTTACTATTTATTTGTGTACAGATTTGTGGTATGGCACCAATTGTTTACTATTTATTTGTGTACAGATTTGTGGTATGGCACCAATTGTTGACTATTTATTTGTGTACAGATTTGTGGTATGGCACTTATTGTTTACTATTTATTTGTGTACAGATTTGTGGTACGGCACCAATTGTTTACTATTTATTTGTGTACAGATTTGTGGTATGGCACCAATTGTTTACTATTTATTTGTGTACAGATTTGTGGTATGGCACCAATTGTTTACTCTTTATTTGTGTACAGATTTGTGGTATGGCACTCATTGTTTACTATTTATTTGTGTACAGATTTGTGGTATGTCACTAATTGTTTACTATTTATTTGTGTACAGATATTACCCATCCAATTCCTGATTTAACTGGTTATATCACAGAAGGTCAGATCTACGTAGACAGACAGTTACACAATAGACAGGTTTGTTGTCTCTTGTTAATACATACTGTAGATTATTATTGGTTAGACACCAATCGTCATGGATTTGATAGGTATAGGTAAACCACTAATTTAAATGTTCAATGAAGTACACATTAACTATAGGTTTGTATGCAGACTTTAGCAAAACAACAAAATTAAATATCCTCTAAAATACAATGTTTCCCCAATCCTCAAAATATCATATCCATGAAATTAAATGAATCAACAGTATTCAGATTCAGTCTGTTTAATTCAAAATAATGGAAAGATTGATAATAATAAAAATTAACAAAGATTTAAATTGAGTATATCTGTTTTGGGGCTTATCATGTTTAAACTTTTCAATTATTTATCTGAACAGATTTTTTTCAATGTTCAGCATGATTTGATAGGTCATTTATTTATTTAGTTTGATGCTAACATTATTTAATTGGAAAAGATGATTTAAATACAAAAAGAATAATCATGATAATACCAACAATGTACTATTTCACACTGCAATGCAATGCTAGTTATGGCCATGTGAAAGATGTTTTAAACTTATAATGAAAACCCCAAACTAATGTATACCATTTCAGATCTATCCACCAATCAATGTATTACCATCACTATCTAGATTAATGAAGTCAGCTATTGGAGAAGGCATGACAAGGGAAGATCACTCTGATGTATCTAATCAATTGGTAAGTAACTGTTTAAACTACAGGCCTACCAGTTATAAAAGATTGGGCCTCAAATAAAAGTTTTTTTCTGTCAGAAGTGTCGCATTTCATTTCTGCCTAATGGGGTTTTTATGCAGTTTGAAAAGGAAAGTAACAGAAATATCTATTTTCGTCTCATCAGCATCACATAGAACCATTTGTAGAAGGTATACACAGTTTTTATATCATGCCTTGTGCATTTGTCTTACAAATGTTTTTGGGGTTTGTAAGTTGGTCTCTGAAAATGTTAAAATTAAAAATATGGACAGTTACTTGCTTTGATTCGTGGTATTGTAAATTCAGAAATTATTGTTAGGTTTATATTCTTGCGAACAATGTAATTGTGTGAGTATCGCAATAATAAGAACTCGCATTCCATATCTCATACGTTTATCTGTATGCACATTTTTCTTTCAACAGCAATAATTAATCTCACATTTTAGTCCATTCTTCAAAAATCCCATTAATAAATGTGTGAAATAATCAACATTTTTAGTCATCTGTATTTATATTAATCATTTTCAGTATGCTTGTTATGCTATTGGTAAAGATGTACAAGCTATGAAGGCTGTAATAGGAGAGGAGGCTTTAACACCAGAAGATTTGTTGTATTTAGAATTTTTAACCAAATTTGAAAAGAATTTTATATCACAGGGTAAGTGCTGTATAACATATTGACTTTACACAATAGGACTTTTGAAACTTTCCTGATTTTTTGTTCACTTCTCACACCATATTAAATGTGAAAATATAGTCTTGCTCTATTATATTTCCTGGAGGTAATACAAATCTCAACAGGGAGAGATTTGTTAATTTCTTCATGAAACACAACAATTCTGACAAGATTTTTATTATCCATCATAATGGATGAATAAGCACAAAAGGAGTTTGAATATGTCTTTGTATTGACTTGGATTGAATTTGGTAAGGGAGGTAACAAAGGGAATCATAGAATTGTTAGGTTTTTATGTTGTTTTTTTTCCAATTTTTATTGTTCACTTGAGTGTAAATGCTGTTTGATGTAAGTATTTAAAAAAGGAGATGTGGTATCATTGCCAAAAATCCCACAGAGTCTAAATGATGTTAATGTAATCAACAGAGTCTTTTTTAGTACTATATTTATCCTGTAAATCAAGTATATATATAGATTCTACCACTGCATCGAGTGTGATACGATATTTATCCACTCGAGACAGTTAAATTTTCAAATTTAAAACGCGAGGCTCGCCGAGCGTTTTAAATATTTAAAATTTAACTGTCGAGAGTGGATAAATATCGTATTACACGAGATTTGGTGGTGGAATCTGTTTCTCTAATGATTTTCAAACAATACGCAGGCAAATTTATTCCTTCTTTTCGAATGATCTGCAAAAAGATGTGTTCTTTCTATGTGACGTCATCAGGCATGGTCGCCTTTTTTCATGCCGTCACAATAGGAAATGCAGAGGAAAGCAAGAAAATTCGACGTCATAATCGGATTTTAGCCAATGAAGAACTGAGATCAAACAAACCACACGTTGATTAAATTTTTTTTATACAATGGGTTCAGAAAGGGATAAATTGACGAAGAATTAGAGAAATTACATTATCTTGTCACTAGAAAGTTTGTAATTTTATGGTGGAAGTTTTATCATGCAAAACAGCTATAGTTTATAAGGTTTGAAACAAATCAGAATTTGTTATTTGCAATCATCAATAAATTACAGTTGAGAGTAAACTGTTTCTGTAAATCTTATTTTGTAATGTATAGAAAAAGACAAGGTATGTATGGAATTATAGAAGAACTAAATTTGGGAATTTGTAACAATACACAAGGTTATACGAAGAATACATTTAACTTTTTTTGTCATTGCAGGTCATTACGAAAACAGAACAATTTTTGAATCTCTAGATATTGGATGGCAATTGTTGCGTATTTTCCCAAAAGAAATGTTAAAACGTATCCCTCAGTCAACTTTGGCAAAATATTATCCAAGAGACACACAAAAGTCCGCAGGGGCAGCTGCCCATCCAGATCAAAGCACACAATTATAAGATTTACTGTAAAATTAGTCATCTTATTATACATTCCCAGAAAATAGAGGTCAAAGGCCAGTGTGCCGTCAGAACCTTTTTGTATGTACAGTATAACGAGAGGTTCTAGCTGTGATTTATTTCATGACATACTGTAAAGTGGTATATATTTGAAGAGTTTTAATTTTGCTATTTCTAGTGCTATACCAGGTCATGAAATTTTAGTTTTCATGTTTTTCAAACCTGTTTCTGAACTTTATAAAGGTAAAATTTCAGAGAGGTGATATTTACGAGTAATTATCTCAAATGCAGAAATAAACCCCACACGAAAAATTTCCACTTTACAGTATGGTCTTGTTATTAATATATATATTTGGAAACATATTAAACTAAACACATTATAGTGTCATGCTATGTAAATATTTCAATTCTGTCTCAAAATAAAATCAATTGTTTGATAGTTCTAAGGGTATTTTTTGTGGGGTGTGATTTAAGAAGATTCTAGGTAGATGATATAATGAAATTGTGTTGTTTATTGTCTAATTTATATAAACAGATGATGTAAAGCATATGCATAACAGTGATAAATAAATTCTATGTCGACTTTCAGTAAAATGTATGCGTTTTTTTCTGTAATTTAATGGTAGGTTTGTTATAATATATTTTATTAGAATTTCTAGTCATCATTTGAATATCTTTTACGAAGAACTAAAGCAATATGCTGTTGGTCTTTATAGTAAACTTAAATTTATAGAAGAAGTAAAAACAAATGAAAGAATTGTATACTTGCATGAAACTTTTTGTTTTGCGTTTATATATGTATATATTATTACTTTGTTTATTCTAACTAATTTGATTTATTCAGAAAGAGTCAAATGTTTAACTGTATTTTCAAAGGTAGACTCAAACGATAGAAAAAGAGATATTGAACAGTTTTTTTTTGTGTATATCTAAATATAGAAATCATAAAATCTCAATACTTTGTGACGCTATGGAAACCGCCAATCAAGTGAATTTCTGCTCTATTTCTGGCGTATTGACAATAGTAATATAACAATTGTGGTCTTTTTTCAGGTTAATACAAGGATATATTGACCTTATTAAGTAAATTGACCTTGTTTTTAGTCAATATACTTCTTTCAGTTTGATATATTCTCGTATGGACCTCATATATAGGCTATAATATAAAACATCATTCTTGAAAATATTTTCTTGCATCAAGGATTATAGTAGTTATCGTATATGAAATGGAACCTGATTTCAGTAGTTTTCATTAATATTATGAAGTTATGTCAAATGTTCTGTTATGCTATTCAATCTGTGAAGTTTAAAGATTTAGTCCCGGAAACGCTATTGATATACTGTACATTACCAGTCCTTTAATATAAACACATTGCAAACTAGGAGAAAAAAAACATAAGTTATTTAAGCATTATGAAGATCCTCATTTAGATCTTGAAACAAATACAATTATCTTGGTTATCTTGCACTACAAGTAGTAAGTTTAAGAGAGAATGGTATCATTGTTTCCTGTCATGTTTAACATGTCTGATGCATTAGTTTTACTCTTTGACTTGTATCTCTTGTTCATAACCAACTATTCAGCATTGTCCAAAAATTCAAAACATAGCCTTATTTATTGTAAAAAAAATACACATTATAAAACATATTGATATTTGAAAGTAATTTATGTATGATGCCAAGTCCAGTACCAGACTTAAATAGAAATAAGCTCTATATAAAGAGTAGTGTGTTTATATATATTCAGATTAGTGTATTTATTTATAATTGATTTTAGAACTGAAATATTACACATATTTCATTGTGCATGTAGACCTCATAAAACAAAGTTGTTTCCAACAATTTTCTTTGTCACTAATATGTTTGCATGCAGCAGTAACGTTGCTATAGTTTTAACAGTAATTTTGCACACAATTTCTGTAAAAGAAATAGTACTTTGTAAAAGCCAAACATTTTTTTTGCCAGTCTGTCCTCTTTGTTTATCTTCAGGATAGTAAAGTTTACACACTTGAAAGGACACAAGTGTGTATAATACCATGACATTTCAAAGGTATAATTATACAGTAATATAAACTTATTCATTATTTCAATTGACAATAACAATCAGAATTCCCCATAGACTGGTATCAGTAGTGCTAGGTTTATGTATTTGGATGTGTAGTTTAGTGTGTTACACATGGATGTCTGTGATTATAACATTATATATATATCTTAACATAAAATGGTAAACATTCAAGTTTATTTTACAAATGTGCATTGTTAAGACATGATACTTTTGTGGTTGTCTTCAAAAAGTTTCTCTTATATGATAGGGTTGTTGGTAGAGCTAAACATAACATCTTTTGTTTGACAGCTTGCCTGTGTAGTTCATCTATTGTTTTTGATCATTTGTTGCCTGTAAGATAAATTTGAAGACACCAGTTCTAACAATATTCTTTCTAAATTGCTTGTTGTTTAACTTTAAACAAAACAGTGATCTTCAGTGTTGATTTTATAATGTGCAATAAATATCATGGTCAGAAAAATGCAACAGTTGTAAGATTTCTACCTGAAGAGTTTTCATTTTATTCAGCATTCATTTATTTGTATGTAATGGAGGAGAATACATACAATTAAATAAAAAAAAACATATGTACACAATATGCTGTTATTTCTTGCTGTTAAACAATAGTCTGTTTTTATACATATAAGAAAAGTTTGAGTGACAGCAACCCAACAAAACAATAAAAACATATGCTGTCTTATGATACCATTACTGCTGCCATAGTAAAGTGACATTCAAATGACCTATTGACATTCAATTCATTAGTCCCAAAAATTACTGGTTTTCATCTGTTCACCATTTTTTATTGGTAGAGTGGGTGACGCATATTCGCCGCAAAATTCGTTCATTTCCATCTACATCCGACCTACATTCGAATATTTGAAATTTTTTATGTAGGTTTCAGAAAGTTTACTATATGAAAAAAATGTTTGATAAATTAATTCTCTTCAAAACATTGGTTAAATGTTTTAAAAATGAACGCAAACTCAAGAGGAAATCAAGTTGTTCTTGTACCATTGGGGACACATCTTCGCCGAAATGTATGATATGACCATCCTCATTATCCTTGTATATTATAAAAACAATTGTTTGCAATTTTAATAATTAGCTTGAGAGATCATTCCTATATGATTTTTCTAACAAATATTTACTTTATGACTGCGCATGCATGCCATATAAATCTTACATAATTGCCAAAATCGTTCAAAACACCTGCGTATTTCTTTATATGACTAACTAACTAACTTATTTTATTCAGTATAAAATCCAGTACAAAAAGGATCATTGCTGAAATACATGAAAACATAGAAAAAAAAAAACAAAAATAAAACATATAGACAACAATTGTGACACTTATAACAAACAATAAACAAAACAACCACTTCAATATTATGCAATTATTCCCACTGATGAATTTCTAATCAAAATACATTTGTCAATATATAAAAGAAATCTGTTGAGAATTAACATTTATATGTGCGAATAACATTGGAAATGGGGTAAAGAGGAATATCAACAGTTGTAACATTACAAACAGCGTTTAGCATCTATTTATGCAAGTAATGGGTAAAGGCACACAAAATTTACAGAAAAAAATTGCAAAAACGGCGAAAATGTGTCCATGGCGAATATGCGCCACCCACTCTATATAAATTTTAAAAAAAATCCTGTTTGATTTGTATTATGTTGACATTGATTTCACCAACAATCCCCGGTCTATAAACTCGGATCTTGATAATCAATTAAATATAAGAGGCAGAAGATATAAAGGTTACATTAAAAACTCGTAATTCTATAAAAAATAACTGACAATGCTATGTCAATTGATTCATGATATTATTTTAATCAAGAATATTGGAATTGAATTGCCTTCTTAAGTTCTTTATTATTGGCTTGATCTGAAGGAGATGGAGGTTATACAGGATTACCTCTGGTCATCTATGTCTTTCTTTCCCATCTGTCTGCCCTTCCATTGGAATTGTTTCATTTTGAAATCTCAGACATTGCAAATTATACCTTCCTGGATGTTGTGTCGAGCTTCATTTGAGCATGTGATGTGTTTCCATATTTATTTCTCACCAACTTCCTATACTTGTATAGCTGGGTATCATAAGTGAGCGATAAGTTGCAGTTCATCTTGATCAATCTGGTCAGGTTAACCAAGGATAAGTAAAATAAAATAAATACCTAACTCCTAGGGAAATTCAAATCAGAAAGTCCCTTATCAAATGGCAAAATCAAAAGCTAAAACACATCGAATGTATGGAAAACAACTGTCATATTCCTGACTCGGTACAGACATTTTCTCATATAGAAAATGGTGGATTAAACCTGGTTTTATAGCTAGCTAAACCTCTCACTTGTATGACAGTTGCATAAAATTCCATTATATTGACAACAATGTGTGAACAAAACAAACAGACATACTAGTTATAGGTAAAAATGTCAAAAAATAGGGGTACAGCAGTCAACAATATGTTATAATCTTAATCACTATAAAACAAACAAATATGTACACAAAGAAAAACATAATGGCATATAGACAATGCACATAAGCAAAAATGAATGACAAGAATACAAAAAATGACCACAGCACAACAACACAATGGAGGGATGCATAAGTACAGAGCCACGCCAAAAGAATAATACTGAATATTGACTAAACAGTAAAGGTTAATTATTTACAAAGACAAATAAAAGAACACTATAACACGCAATTAAGATGATAAACAACGTCAGTACCTATAATCTATACTTCAAGACCATCATGTATAATTTTTGAAGTTGATACAGAAAATATATCAACAAGGACTTGGTATCTTCCGATGATTTTTTTTTTAGAAAAAGGACGAGACGTTCTTTGGCATAACCCTGGTTCATCAACCTTCCGCTCAGACATGGTGACGTTTTATAAAGTCTGAGTAGCAGCTGCAAGCTCTTGAATACCGAATGAGTTGGGAAATGTATATCCCATATGCAGGTGAAGTTGGTATATTGGTACTAAGGTGGGGAAAATTTATAATTTCAAAATTAAAATCTTCTTGTTTGTCATAGATTCTAGTATTGAGATTACCGCTTATGTCAAATTCGAGGTATAAGTCTAATCAAAGTACTGAAGTACTGAACATCGGATGACCACAAGTTCTTGAGGATGGTCAAAAGCACTTGTCTCAGAAAAAAAACAACATATCTCTTTACCTGAAACTGAGGTTAATGTACAGAGATATATTTTTTTCTAGACAAGTGCGTGCGAGTATGATGAATAAATGACAGGAAATTCAACTTCACCGTAATAACTATTATATTGTAGTGATACAAATCAGTATACACTGATTTGTTGTTATATATTATATTAAAATAACAGTTACATATATATATGATTTGCATCCGTTTGTATATCATTCTATTCTACTGTTCTAATAATAGTGCAATGCAAGTGCATGGTGGACACTTTTCTGTAAAAATTCGATTTTTCTAAGATTGGATACGAGTAGGCATTCATATTTTCCCGCAAAAACAATTACAGAGTTACCGGTCCTGTCGCAAAACGTTCTTTGAGATATTCTTCCGCATGCTTTAACACAATTTTTCGGTACGCGTGCATTGATATTATCAATGATTTTTTACTTATATATATATATCTAACTACAAAACATTTTCACATTATTAATTTATGTTGTAAACAAAAATATTTTTATCAGTATTCATTGAAGAGATGTATTTATATCAAATGACAAGGAATGTTATTTTGCACTCGTTTATGTGCGCATACTTATCATGTTTATAGATCGGTTACAAACCCAAAACTAATTTACATAATGGAAATCTAGGCGATAGCAATACATCGGAGTGACCTCAAGGTCATCGCGATGTAAAAATGAGGCGGAGGAAGCCGTGTCTGTTGTTTCTTTAATTTCTGGAAGATATTTTAATGGAATCCAATCAAAAAAGTTTGGATTGTTAATGGAAAGAACATCATCAATATACCTGAAGGTAGAATGTAGAATTAAATGATCTGGCTTCTTTGGTCTTCTTGCTTTTGACAAGTAACTGAAGGAACTCCTACTAATATGAAAATAAAAAGAGATCGACAAGGAGAGGCGCACAGTTCGTTCCCACAGGAATGCGGACAATTTGTTGAAAAAGTCTACCTCAAAATTCGACAAATATTTTGTCAATAAGAAACTCCAGCATACTGATCACGGGTGCCACATGTGAGGCAGGATCTGCTTACCCTTCCGGAGCACCTGAGATCACCCCCAGTTTTTGGTAGGGTTCGTGTTGCTTAGTCTTTAGGTTTCTATGTTGTGTCTTGTGTACTATTATTTGTCTGTTTGTCTTTTTATTTTTTAGCCATGGCGTTGTCAGTTTATTTTTGATCTATGAGTTTGACTGTCCCTCTGGTATCTTTCGCCCCTCTTTTGTTCCTCTGTGTAGAATGTTTTACCTGTTTGTTCACTATTAACAAAATATGCCGTATGGTATCCCAAAGTACAAATTTATAGCGTATGCTACCATTTTATATTGAATAGCATTGTAGATTATTTCCTTTAGACGATTTTTCAATTTCACATAGGGAATGTGGTATACAGGGAAGAAAAATCAAAAGTTGTGATAGAATTAATTTCAGAGAAAGATCGAGATCTAAAATTACCAAGAAGTTCTTTCTAGTTTTTCAGAATCCACATATGGTTAATACCTCAACGTGAGTAAACAGTTTCACAGTATTTCTGAAAACCCTCTTTCACTGCGGACAGAATTTTTGTCAATCTAATGGACAATTCCTTTGTAGAACATGCACATGAGCCCCTTAAAGAACCAACTCTTTTCCTTTGACCACTTGTTTGTTATCAGTATGGTTCATTCTGTACTACTGCTGATATGATATTTGTACGGCTGAGGAAGTTCTATCATGTTGACAAAAATATGGTTGTCCCTCTCTTTTTTAATTGTATTTTCCGACTGAATTCTCGTTATCAATTGAGGTTATATAGCGGGCGGGTGTACAACACAAGTTGTTTTCGTGAAATACTTATAATGAACCGTCAACCAATGGTTTGTTGTTACTGGTGAAAAAGAGAGGTAATTTCGATATGGACAAATTTCACTGTTGCAGGTCTGGAATTTTGATTCTTGATTGATTGACAAATGACACTTTTCTGTTGTTTCCGTGCATTAACATAAGAACAGTTCAACCAATGCTTTTAAATTTTAAATATGTTGTTACGGATGATACAATGCCGTTTAGAAGTTACGGTCCTTGATTGATTGGGAAATGATATTTTATATTGTTTCTGTGCAATAAGTTTAGAACTATACTTCCAACTACTTTAATATGTTGTGACCAGTGACAAAATTGAGTTCTAGTTCAATATTGAGGATTTCACATTTGCCGTTCAGAAGCTTCATTGCTTATAAATAAGCTTATCATAGTATCAGGATTTCAGACGCGCGTTTCATGTACAACAGACTCATCAGTGATCCTCGAATCAAGCAAGTTAAACAGGTCAAAATAAAATACGAACTTGAAGAGCATTGAGGACCCAAAATTCCTAAAATTTTTGCCAAATACAGCTAAGGTTATCTATTCCAGGAG